GAAGAGGTAGAGAAAGAGCAGTAAGCACTAAAGCACATATCTCGAGCCACAAGGTCAGTGAAAAAACTGCTCTCCCTTTATATATTGTGCATGTATATATTCCACACCACTGCTCTTGATTTTTCTTTTCCATTTTCCAGAGATTACGAGCCAACGGCTAGTTATTCCTGAATCGACGAGTATCGGAAAAGTGGAAGAGGATCGATGGATTACGGAGACGATCGGTAGATTCTCTTTTGTTTTGCTGCCTTACTCTTCCCGATTTGGTTGCTTTGTCTTCCTGGGTTTTTGATTTGTGTGGGGACTTTGATTTGGTTTTGGTTATGTGTGTTTGCTTTGTGATGATTGTTGATTATTTATTCTGCGGTTGATTATTTTGATGGGCATTCTTCGATTCAGCGGGTCGTTGATGTAAAATAGAGTCACACTCACGTGCTCCTTTGTCTGGGTTTGACTGCAATCGTTATGTCAAGCTTGGATTTGGTGCTGATTTCTGGCTCAATGCTGGTTTTGGGTTTGACTGATTTTTGGGTTTTTTGTAGGATACAATGTCGGATTTGCTTTCAGTTATGAATGTTGGATTCTTAATGAAATTTGATTTGAGTTGTGAATGTTGGATTCTTAATAAAATGACGGCTCATTTAATGTTTCTTCATCTTTTCTTTTACTCGTTCAAAATTTGGTTTACCTCGTCAGTGCTCAAGATCTCTAACATCATATCCTCTAAATCCCGAGTTTCATAGAATGTTTGGTTATTGAATCTTTGAGCTGCACACTGTGGTCAGGATCCAGGTTGGGATGTTGAGATTGAGCTTCATGTTGTGGAATGTGATGTTTGTAATGTGTTACCCTATTTGCATAGTTTTGAGTTGTTGGTTAGTAGATTTGTTTGGTCATTCGTGATTTACAAGATATGATTGGGACTTTTCAGTCCTCACAAAACTTCCAAGTAGATTAGTAACCAGTTGTCTCTCTAAACATGTAAATGTACTCTGGGTTTGATCATGTGATGTTTGAAAATTTGCAGTAGCCCCTCATGGAATTGGCAAGTGCAGAACTATAATGACCAACCACAGTCTGATTTCTGTAAGCTTTTACTTCATCTATTACTCTTACAACACTGTGACAAGCATATGATTGATTTGTTCTCTAATTCCAGCGGATGTCCCGGAGTGCACGATGACTGAAGTCACATTAAACCAGGAAGATCACTCATACATGTTTGATGACATAGCCACCCCAGTGAAGGCCTGTAGCGAGTTAGCTTATCATGTCACATCAGGTTGTTTTTCTTTCAAGTTTTCTTTTCAATTTGTGATGTCTATTTAATTAGAGAGTCTTATCTAAAGAAGTCGGTCTTCAGCAGACACGAACAAGAAACTAGAAGTGCAGAGTCAGACACGCACTGCACTAAAGAGGCGCCGGATGTTACAATTCGAAGACCAGCCTGCGGAAACATCCCTTTTCAGCAGTGAGAATTTCTCTGCAATCTTAAAATCAAGCGTGAGTACACAAAACCCATATCTCGTTTGTAGCTATGCCCACAGATGCATTTGCGTTATATTCTTGATATCCAAACTCATTGCTCATTCATTAGGATGCAGTCTTAGTTATTTATTCTATGTTACTGAGTGCTGGCATCGACTATTAGTATTTATTTTGATCTATCACCAATGTCTAAGATCTGTTAGAATTGCTAGATCACTGCGCCAATCTTATTGTCAAACAGTAAGTGGACTGTACAATGTGAATCCGTGTTCATTTCAAAAGTTTGCGAAGTTGAATCCGTTTTGGTTTATGGACTTTTTTCTTCTTTCTACCCCTAGAACAAATTCAAGCTTCTTGGTATCTGAGTTCCTAAGTCAATTGTCAGGTACCAACTGTGGCAAGTTATGTTACTAAACCTACGCATCTAAGAAGCAGCATTGATAGCTTAGGAGGTTGCATGAGGTTCTAATACTATCTTTGATGATCTGATTGATGTTTCCTCTATGTATGTTCAGGCTAGAGAGGAAACATTTGATGAGCTTTTACCCGAAGGAACTCAGCTTATAGATGGGTTTTCAGGTTGAGATCTTATAAATTCTTCCAAGTCAATCTGGTCAATGTGTTTTCCATTGAAACAAAAGATTATCTCTTTTTCAGAAGATGCATCCGCCTCTAGCTTCGAGGGCCTTGATCTCTATGCTGAAGAGTGGTATGTTGACTGCTTGAATGATGCTGAGAATCCAGTTCTACCTGATGACTTGTATGTTTCGTCCTTTCTTTTAGTAGAAACCTCAAGCTTATTTACAGTATAGTAGCTCATTTGCTGCATAAACTGATTACTATTGCTGTCTTCTCTCAGAAGCTTCGGTTCACCTGATGTCCAAGTAGATATTTCAGGTCAGTTTCCTTTTCTTTGATCACTTCTTTAGCTTGCCCTAGCTTTTGTTGCTAAAATCTCTGTGTTGGCGCAGAGTATTTAAATGTGCCACCAGAAACAGAAACCAGGGAAGTTCAGCGGCGTGTGACTCGTTCTTCTCCAAATGTTATCTTCAAAGGTAAAATAAATGGCTTGAGTCAAAAATGGGTCTCATAGTTAGTAGTTACACACTGAATTTATGACAAAATGAGAAAACAAAACATTATTAAAAAATGTTAAGTGGGAATAGCAGGTAGGAAATCTTTTACAAGGCCGGTTTCAAAGCTACCATCTTCGATCATCTATCCGTTTGCGTTCATCAAGCCATGTGGAGTTCACGGAGACATGACTCTCAAGGACATAAACCAGAAAATCCGAAATCCACCAGCAAAACCAAAGGAAGACAAAGAAGAGCCTGCAGTGATCCAAACTTCAGCATTCTCTGGGAAACCCGTTGTAGGCAAGACTAAAATCCGCACAGAAGGAGGAAAAGGAAGCATCACGATAATGAGGACCAAAGGCTAGAAGTTAAGTAAGTTGCAACAAGCTAATAGAAGTGTATTTAAGTTTATTCACTGCAGAAAACTTTTAAAATTTTTGCCTTATTCTCAGAGGCCCTTAAATCTTTTATGGGATTTAGTTCCATCCTAGGGCCTTTAATCAGAGTACAGCGGCTAATAATCTTCAAAATCTCATTATGAATCATGTTCTTGTTTCTTTTTGGTAATTGTAGTAAGAAAGAGAACCTAAGGATCTGTAGCCATGTGGTAGGATTTTTTTGTTTGTATAAAGTCTATATGTTTCTTAATGGAAAGTCAAAACTCGCTGCCATGTCTTTGAGTCTCTCTGGTGGGATTGCTATATAAAGTAAATAATATGTTTTTTTTTTTTGTCATCTCGAAAAATTATATTAAAACAAGTAGGATATTACACATAGGATCAAGGCCGGTAGGGATAAACCAATCCGTAGCCAAGGCGACACGGAAACGAATCCATCTAGAACTAAAGCCCAAAAGAGGGAAATAGTTCTAAACAACTACCACACCAAAGGAACCAAGATGGAAACGTACAAGACAAAAACAAGGAGGTAAATAAAGGTACAACCAACCAAACTCGAACCATAAGATGCAAGAATCGAAGAAGCACTACCACCACCCACACCGGATGAGGTCAACTGCTAGCTCAGATCGGAAGAAGACAATGAACACAGGAAGCAAGCGATCACACAAGAAGAGCAAACCAATCCACCAAGGAAACTCCAACTGATATTCAGCCCTATGCTCACTAGTTAAAAGGAGGCAAGAAATTGATGTACATCGCCAATTGGAGATTATTCTGGAAAAAAACGGAGAAAAAGGCACACCACTCTGCTGGGCGAGGGAGATTAGTCTCGACATCAACATCTTCTATAAATAATAATCCACCAATAAACACTTCAACACAAAACAACATCACCAAAGGAACAGACGAGCAAGTAGCACAACTAAACAGAACTCCCGGACGATTGCAAGGACCACATCAACAAGGTTCGGCAAGCACAAAGAGTATACCAGAGGTCAAAAAGGCAGCAGCGACCAACCCTCAATAACCATCAGAGCAATTCCAAGACACCAACCATCTTTTGCGAAACAAACCACTACCTTCTACAAGCTACAAATTCCCATAACATAGAACGCGAACCTAAATCCAGTAATACCATGGAGACAAAACGGCAGACCCAAGAGGATACAGATACCACTAAAACAGAGTCAAGACCTCCGCACCTCTAATGCTATGAGCCACCCACAGGGATACACCACCCACAAACCTAGGCAGAACGCAGACTAGACTAAGACAGAGGGAGGAGCACCAATCAACCACCTGAAACAATAGAATGAGACCGAGCAGAACCGACCACAACAGTGACCAATGCTAAAAGGCGACGACAAGACCATAGCAAAGAACGACACATGCTCAAAACCCTAGCTTTGAAGCTAAAAAAGCAACAAAGGACTAGAATCAAGGGACAAAAGAATCGACCCAACATCAAAGCCAAGCAGAAAAACCCCAAAACCTAAATCACTATAAGGCTGGAGGCTCCCCAAATCCGCCACTGGAACTAGCCGTCATCGCATCTGGAGAAGACGACGGCGAACCAACCGTAAAAGCCAGACTCCACGCCGACTTGTTGTCACATATCCGGAACCAGCAAGACCACGCGATACAAGAGACGAAGAGCCCCAGAGAGATCGCCCGAGCCCAGACCACGCACCACCACAACTCAAAGGAAGATCCAAACTCACCGGAAATAGCCAAGAACACCAATGAAAAGCAGATTCGG